AATATATTTTATTTATAATCTTAATTTTATTTATATTTATTATAAAGGTTTTCTATTATATATTATTTTAGTAGTTAGGTAGTCTATAGGTAGGTATAGTCTATAAGTGGGTGGCTAATATTACTAGTTTAGTACTAACCTAATTCAATAAATAACTAACTTATTAGACGCTCTCCTCTCTATCTCTACTATATTACTTTCTTATTTAGAAGAAGTGGCTTAATAGGCCTGTTTTCTTTATTATTTACTACTAGCTAGTCGTTTATTTAAACTTAGTTTAACTCACTATAGTAGTTTAGAAGCTAGCTATATAGTAAATATTATAATATAAGCCTAGGTACTAAGTGTACGCGGCCTTAAAATCTTAGGACAGTAGTGATACAATAAAGCATACTAAACACATTTCACCCTACCTCCCTCCTAAGCTACTATTTAAAGTTAAAGAGCTTTTACTATAGTAGGACCTATACAGCCTTATATAAACATAAAAAGTCATAAAAACTCTTAAAGGGTATCTCTATAGTAAAAACTAAAATAAGTGTTATAGGTCGCACCTATATAATAATTTTAGTAGACAGTGGCTAAAAATAGTGTATACCTACTAAGTACCTATAGTATCCACTTATTTCTTTATATTAGGTGTTCTATAGTTATAGTGCCCTACGTAGGCTCTATATTATAGTATTTTAGACTTAAGTTATTCACATTCACGTTAGTATCACTAGCCAGTTTAAGCACTATATAAGATAGTAGAAACAATATATTAAGCCGAGAATCCCTTCTTTAGCCTAGTAAGGATTTAATTCTAGAAACTATCACTATAATTAGTTTTATAACTACTGTTTCTAGTGTGGTTAATAGAAAGGGTAGAAATAAGTGAAGCTATAGATAAGAACAACTTCTAGTAGTTATTATTAGCGTCTATTATAGTAGGATAGTAGAAATATAAGTATAGTACTTATAGTGTTAGGTGGCTTAAAATGGCGAGTAGCCCTCCCCACCTTAATACTAAAACTAAGGTCACCCACAACACCTATTTTAGTTTTTACTATATCTATAAAATATTTTAAAAGCTAAAGAGAATAAGAGATTAGTAGATTTCTTATTATAAGCACTTACTAACTTATATAGAGGAACTAGGCAATATTTATAGTACAGCTATTAATGCTTAGAAGTGTTTTTAAAAAAGTAGAGACGTAATCGTGCTAAAATTGCCGTATAAGCTATTTTTAACTTGAAAAATAATCCTTAAACGGCCTACTATCCAAAACACTCATGCAGCTTGTTCCTATGACTAAGGCATAATGTAGACGTAAAACGCTGCACTCACTACACATATGCGCTCAGGCGAGTCATTCTCTTAGCTCTGTATGTTTTCAAGGGTTCATGCGTAGTAATAAAGCTAACTATCCGTAGGTTCCGCCAGCTGTCAAGCCGAGTTCTAGAAGCTACTGGTGAATGAGATAGTTAGTAGCAGTGTGGTTTTGCCATGCTGGAGGAATAGACGGACGGACCAATTGGCCAGGCTGTTACAACATTACGCCGCTATGAGGAGTAAGTGGACAACTTAGCAGTAGCAACGTAGCAGCGGCCACAAGTTCCCGCATACTTATTATTCGCTAGTTAATATTGAGATGAATTCACTGATGAATTATGTAATGCCTGACCTATGAGTTGTACATAAGCATAACAGGCAGGGCTAACCTAATACAAATGTATCTATACATGGTAATAAACAATAGCCTCCATTTATGGCCTTTTCTGTATTTCTATTATTGCTATTTTAAGATGCCAAGCCTTCTCTCCATTATATGTTATGTATATGAAGTGGCTAGTATGCCGCCCACTCGGGCTTTTTGAGGATATAAAAAATAGCCTTTAGTCTACTCTTGAGATTTCTTGAGACGTCTAATAGCCACCTTAGATTCAGCTTTGCAGACTCAGTCTCCGAGACAACGCTGCCCGTGAATTCTAAGTCCTGATGGGCCCGGATAGAGTCGTCGAAGTTGGTAACGAGTTGGTCAATGTTGCGTGCCGCGGAGAGAATGACTAGACGTTTAAACATCACATTATCTTGCTCTGGCAGCTGGTAGAGTCCAAGAGTGAAGTGGAGGTTGTCACTAGCGGGTCCGCCGATGAATGCGGACGGGTTCTTTGCAATGACACACATCAACGCCACCTGGCGCTGGTGAAGCATGGCCAAATTCATCAGGCAGGGACAGCTAGTACCACAGTGAGGACAGTTAAAATAGCTGGCGATGTGTGCGGCTACATCCTGCAGAGAGCACAGAACTGTATCGAGGGCGAATGCGGCTGGCTCCTTGACAATAGCGTCGATACGGTTGACAAACGACTGATTTAGTACGTAGCAATTGCAGGGGCTTGTGTTCCAATAGTCATTCGCAGCCGTGTCGGTAGGCAGGCCAAGGTTGAATGGGGAGAGCGCGGGACCAGAGGTGGGCGTCGGGAGAAAGCTGGCTGTTGATGGCTGCATCATATTGTGCTGCATATCCTCCGGGGTGATGTCCATCTACGTTGTGTAAGTTCTTATCAACAGCGGTCGAGAGATAAGAAGAGTTACTTTGTTGTCAGAATACACATACAGGTGCCATAAGGTTATCAGCAGCTGGCCGTGCGTCGCTTAAAGCAAAGATACCACTTGGTGTTGAGGAGGCGGCGAAGGACGACGAGGAGCTGTCCCTCGAACTCGGGCGCCTCGCCTTGCGCCCGCCTTAGCGCTGTGAAATGCTGTACACGCAGGACGATGCATTGGATGACGACTTTGTACAGCGGATGCAGGGCTGCCCACCAGAGCACTTGACACGAGACCGTCTGCAGTTGTCGTAAGAGTGACAGTACTTTGGCTTTGTGCCGCCTAGGCTTCCCACCCTGCTGTTTAATGCAGAGATGTGCTTCTGGCTCGCCCCAGCGTCCCATTGCAGGACATATCCACTGGGGATCTGGCTCGAGTTGACCATTACTCTAAGGCGCTGTCGGATGTCGGTATAGACGGCTGGCGAGATGATGAGAGTGGTGAGTTGAGTCTTGCGCTTCGTCAATCCGCGAAAGGTAGGTTCCGGTGCGATGGCTGCATGCAGGGAGGGCTATTTATTGCTCTAGTGTATGGATTTGTCGGGCTAGAGTGTAATGGCAAACGGCCGAGCCCTTCGTGGTAAGGTATCAGTGCACCATGTATTCTTAGGGTTAGGGTTAGAACCGTGACTATATTTATAGCTAAGCTGTGCGCTCTAAGGCTATAGAAGGTAAATACACTAAAAGGGAGTAAAGACTCTATCTTCCTTTAGAGGAAGGCTAAGGAGCCTTTATAGAAAGGTAATATCCTACTAGAGTAGATTTACCCTATAGATAGGGCTATAGATAGGGTTCTACTGTAGAAAAGCTAAAAATAGCTATTATAGAGTCCTTTCTATAAGCCTATTATAGAGTAGTACTCTATAGTAGAGTAGTAGTTCCTAGGTAGTTAGAAGGGAGCTTCTAGGTAGCTAGGATAACTACTAAGTAGTTATAGGGTAGGTTACCCTATAGTAAGGCTCGGCTAGAGGCCATAGCGCTTTCGTAGGCGCTGTAGGGGCGCCTGTGAGGACAGCCGGGCCTGTGTAGAGCACTGTGGCTCTATAGAGGCCCTGTGGGTTCTCTGTGGCTCTATAGAGGCTCTGTGGGGCTCTATAGAGGCTCCCTGGGGGTTCTGTGGCCTAGGGGCTGCTGGCCACTGTGGACCTTCTGGTTCCCACTGGAAGGTGTGGCTTCGGGGGTCTTCAGAGGCCCTATGGAAGCGTAGGGGCCTAGTGGCTTGTGTGGCTGGTCCCCCTCGAAGGTTCTGCCTGATTGTACTCCAGGGTACGCTCGATATCTGCCTTGATTTTGCGATAGAGGCTGCTGAGTGTGCCCTAGTCTTATATAGGGTAAGGGAGATGACTGTATCAAGGTAGGTGGCCGCCACAGGTCCTATAGAGGCCTGTAGGTCCTTATAGGTCTTCGCTGTTGACTTCTCCATCAGGCCGCCTGCAGAGATGATTAGAGGGTAAAAGTCAGGGCCTAGGGCACTGTATTTAGCCCTCTTCGCTGTTGCAGCCTCCTGTAGGGTACTGTGGGGGTCCGTGGCTGCGGAGGGCTTGTTGATGGCCACTATTTGAAGGTCATAGTACCGTATAGAGCCTTTATAGTGGGTGGAGAGGTCTGGTCGAGGCCCTGTGCGCCCTGGCAGCTGTGGCTCTAGGGTAGAGCCTAGGGTGGTCTTTGTTGCGGCTGCTAGTGCCCGTAGGATCGTATCGTGGCGAATTTTCCAGTGGCGTTCAGCACCCTTACAGGTGTCTTCATGCCCTATCTTGACCACTGTACCACAGAAGGTACAGGGTAGGTCTAAGGCCCTCACAGGTGCTATAAGGCGTACCCTAAGGCCCTCCGTGACGTTGAAGTCTGCCAGTTGGTTGTTTTTAGTAGTAGGCAGGACCTCTAGCCAGCGGCGGCTTAGGTAGGTCGAATTTTCCTGTAGGGCACGCTTTCCCTCTAGGGTAAGCTGGTTCTGGATTCTTTTGAGGCGTTGTTGGTTGATTTCCTGGATCGTGTGGGTCTTCGTAGGCCCTAGGGTAGGTACGTATAGGGTGCCTGGGTTGATTCCTCTGTCGTAGGGTAGGAAGTCTGTGTTCATGTTGACTAGGCCCCTTCGTAGCTTATTTAGGGTAGGAATTGCGTTCGTTTTCGCTACCCTATAGAGGTTGTTTGGCATTTCCTTGTATAGGGTGATTCCTAGCCCTCCCATCCGTATAGGGAGTGCTAGTAGGTCTTGGTTGATGCTTGTGGGTGCCTGTGGGTTGATTGAGGCAATTTGCTCAACAGCCTCTAGGGTAAGGCGGTCGATTTCTTCGTATAGGTCGAGGAGCCCTATAGGGTAGAGCTGGCGAAGGAGGTGCCTTAGTAGGAAGGTCATACTTCCTCTAAGAAGCAGTAGAGCGTACTGCTTAGGGAGGGCCTGTAGGGTAGATAGAGTTCTCTTGTAGGTGTCTATCTTACCCTGTAGGAAGGTTCTTCGGTGCTGTAGGGGCCCTATATAGGTGCGGAGGGCCTGTATTCCTTGTTCCTGCACTGTATCCAGGTGCTGGAAGGTGGATTTCGTCAGGTTCAGCTGGAAGGGTGACTGCTGGAAGACCTGCTGTATTATAGGCCTTATATCGTCCCTCTTAGAGACGACATAGGTATCGTCTAGGTACGAGACCACTATATCGCCAGGTAGGGCCTTCTGTAGGGCCTGTAGGGTGGGCCTGTATGTGAGGGACCAGAAGAAGGCACTGAGGGGGTCTCCCTGCCGTACGCCTTCAGCGCTTGCGATAGTGGACCCATCCTGTAAAAACAGCACTGCCGGGTCGTTATAGGCCCATCTGGCCGCCCGATAGAAGGTAGGGGCGTATAGGGTAATAGCCGTGGCTAGGCCTACCCTAGGGGCTAGGTTAAAGGCATTCTTCATGTCTAGTGACATAATAGACCTGGCCTTCGCCCTATTAGCCCCTATGATTGACTCTTCCAGCAGGTATATCGCTGGCTCAACCCCCCCGGGGCTTCGGACCCCTAGCTGACAGGGTAGGAGCATGTTATCCTTGTATAGGGTAGACAGGATCGCCTTTGTAGCTACCCTATACAACATGTCGCCTATCGCTATAGGTCTCGTGCCACC